GTCTTCATACCTTGATGGAAAGAGCAAATGATGTTCAACAGTTTAGGGGACAGCCCAGTTTCTTCAGCACAGGAAAAAGGCGCTGTCTGTTGACTGCATCAAAGGCCTTTGTCAGATTGATGAAGGCTGTGTACAGTGGTGTTCGTTTTTCTCTACACTTCTCTTGCAGTTGCTCAACCAAAAATACCGTATCAACCATGGAGCATTGTCTTACCTGATAAGGTGTTCGAAGCTGTTTGACCTGCAGCTCACAGGCCTCAAGCAGCTCGCGAGTGATCAACTTATGCCTGTGGGCTCTTGCTGCCTTCATCTCCTGGGCTCCCTGCTTCCCCTCACATGGGGCTGGGTGCTGCTGCCCCCGAGCTGTCACTGTTTCCCTCCATCATCCGTGCCTGCTGCTGCAGCTGTTGCCTCCCCGCAGGCCACTTGGTTTCTTTGGGCTCCCCCTCCCTCCTCCAGCTTCTGCTTCCTGCCACCATGCCTAAAGATAGCGTGTCCCACGTCCTACAGCTGCTCGGAAGTTGGACAACTCAAAATAAGTGAACAGACAAAAAAACGCGGCCACTTTCTATCCTGTCTCCTGCTCACGTGAAGTCTCATTTAAGCCCGAATACAGCTCTATTTAAGTAAATGGCACTGTACCATGCATCTAGTCCTGTGAGGTGCTGAGCACCATCCAGTCCTACCCGTGGCAGGATGAGGCCCCGTATCTGTTTCAGCATCACACAATGCAGCTACACAGCAGACTTACCAACCCCCAGCAAAGCAAAACCTTGACATTTGTAGCCATCGACCAAGGGACAGCTAAAATGTTCATTGGAATAAATGGGAATGGTTTGATGTTTACCTGTGAGATTAAAAATATCAGGCCTACACAGAGCAAGAGGAATCATGTGTCTCACAGGTAATCTTGGAGAGCTGAGAAGTAATGTATGTTGTATTCGCTAACTACATTCCTTCTCCCACACTGGAACCATTTGCTTTGAGTAAATGCCATAAATTAGCTCTTGGTTAGAGATGAGTTGAATGGCTCAGCAGAAATTGTAGGGGCCTGGGAATGTGATTTTCCACCAAAAAAAGTGCATTTTACTGTCTCTCTCAATCTCCCTGTTAGCATATCAAGTTGGATTGCACTGGCTGCCTCTGGGGCTCAGTTGTTATACGGTACTGTATAATACTGCAGCACAAACATGCTAAGTGCAACTTGATGTCGCCTTTTCTGCTGCAGTACATCAGTCTGCTCAGTGAAGAGGGGCACAGCATGGGGAACAAAGAAATTAAGGGCACGGTTGAGGAGAGCGTGCTTATCTTTTTGGCCCACAGTCTTGCTTTCCAAAGATTTTATCTGTTTCTCTCTGCATTATTATCTCCTGTTTGTATTTCTATTAGTGTCTAGGAGACCCAGGCACAAGGACCGGGGTCTTGCTATGCTCGGGGCTGTACAAACACAGAACAAAAGCATGCCTCCTTTCCCCAAAGAGCCAACGTTTTGTTCAGGTTCACGTGGCCACACCACCTCCCCCTTGCACTCCTCTATTCCCAGGACCCCAAACCTGGGTTGCAGACCTGAGCTATAGGTCTACCCAAACCAAACGGCCCGTCATGCTTGAAGTGCACCCATTTCTAAAGCCAACAGCACTTAAGGAAGTAATGTAGTTGACATCCCAGCCAGCCACCTTTGACCCTTGCACCCCAGCTTCAATGATTAGGTTCCCAGTTGTAGCTTGACTGGGGAGAACCTCCAGTGTACATCTGGAGCAACACCCACATACATACAGGTGTAGCAAGACACCTGACACCTGCTCTGCCACTGTGCCTCAGTACAGATTTAAGTAAATACTCATTGTCCCTCCTTAATTGCTCTGTAGCTTTCCTTTCTCCCTCTAAACAAAGCATCTTATTGCTATGACCATCTTCAGCTGAAGCCCACTAACAAGAGTTCTTTGCTTGTCCTGTAGCATAGCGGTGCTGAGCTGTTTGCGGTGCTTCCTCACTCCTCACCTGCAGAGGTCCAAAGCTTAGGTCCCAAACTAAGCTTTTGCTCCCAACAACAGGATGCTGCAAGGGCTGGCTAATGCTCCTCCTTCACCAGGCATTGGCAAGCCCAGAAGTATTTATATTTGTGCCCAGCGGAGTGACAGAGGAGGTAAGAACATCAGTAATATTGAACAGAGTTATCAAGAGACACAGCAACATAGGGCTCAGCTTTGCATTTAGCAAGGCATTTTGCTTTTTTGTTAACCAATTCTTTTTTTTTTTTTTTAACCAATAGACCTTCATACAATGCCAATGCATTCATTAGCAGCCACTTGTCATTTTGTAGGCACCTGCAACTCTTAGGTCAGCACCCAAATGGTGATGGAGTTTCTCTGGTTTTTCCACTACAGCGCTGGCTCTTTCAATTTCCACCTACCCCACAGGTTGGATTTCATTTTGCAATGCCAATTGCCTTTAGAAATAGATACAACCTTCCCATTTGAAGGGGGCCAGGGTCATAAATGTCAGCACCCAAATTGTGACCTCAGCGCATTCACCTGCAAGCAGGTCACCATGCATGCAAAACAGGTATTTGCATATTGTCTGCTCGTTACATGGGAAGGCACGAGCATCACTCCTAACATGTCCAAATTGATGGCCTTTAATCTAGGATGCCAACAAGATGTCATTTCTGTTCTTGTCACAGCATGCCTCACAAATATTGCCTTTGGATTTTCACGCACCCCACCCCGCCTTGCTCTGAATTAGCAAAATGCTCTTGCATTGTGACCTTTTCAATATTCTGTATTTTGATTGGCTGACTTAGCATACTCCCTCTCCCTTGTACAGTACCATTAACCTCTGGGGAAAGAGAGGAAACATCTACCCAATAAAAATACAAAATACTGAAAAGGTCAAAACACACTATTACAATAAATTACCATAATTCAAAGAGTAAAGCAGGCATTAAAATGATGATCTGTTGTGAGACAGAGATTGGCATTTGTCCGGAAAATGGCACAGCATTAATGCAGTCGGAGGGCCAAGAGCCACCTGGGAAACGGTAAACATTTTCAAACTAGACCCTTATCACTATAATCATGTGATCCTCGGAGGCTGTCACATCATGGTATTACTGAGTGATGGAAACATCACAGTGGATTATGATTTATTTTCCATTCTAAATACTTCAAAAGCAAACAAGTGGGGGCAGTCGAAAAATAAAGATAGAAACCAAGCTGGATTTTGAAGATAAAACCTTTTAAACGGACTGCCTCAAGACTTAGGCAGGTGGCTGATTTGAAGGGTAGCATTTATGACATGGAACATGGTAGGCCCTTTTTAATGCGTATCTCCGGTGGAGAGCCGCAGACATTTAATTGAATAATAAAGACATTTGTGGTGACATTACATAGGATGGAGGGATCCATTTAAGTCACTAGAATTTAGAAGTTCAGTGCTCCATTCCCTGCTCCGCCATGGATATCATGCAATCCTAATGTTCATTGGGGCCTCTTGTAAGGGCAAATGATAAACTAGTAAATAAGCAGGGCAAATAGGTATAAGGAGCATCAGCCATCTTGCAGCAGGGCTTAAGTGAGTTGCTAAGTGCCCAGTGTAAAGAAGATCTCTCCCATAGTTATCCCGTAATCACTGATGACCAAGACTTTTGTAGCTTTCTCTGAAAAAAAAGCTCTGTTCCTGGCTCTTGATAGAGTAGGGGATTGATGTGACATGGCATTCACCGGGGCTGGCTGTCAAGCCCAGTGGGCTCTATGCCCTGCATGCGCATCGACTTGTGGCAGCTCACAGTCCTGCCCAAATCAGTCAACCCAAATGCACTCCTCTTTGAGGGAAAAACCAAAAGTAAAACTGCAGCCACCTACTCCCTAGAAGCACCTGGCTGTGGCTGGTGGGATTCAGAAGGTACAAGACAGAATGCTAAATGAATCCTCTTATGGTCTTCAAAAGGGACAGACTACATTTCAGCTATCAAAGGGTGCTAAACTTCCCACTCTTTCCACTGACTTCCCTGCCTCTCTCCCTTGCTGGAGAACTGCTTTGCCTTTTTAGAGCCTCCTTGAACTCCAAAGGAGGCCTCACTAACTGATTCAGTAAGGGAGAAACATCAGCTGCCTCAGGCATTGAGGAACAAGACCCCTAAGCTGCTGCTGTATCCACTTTATCTCCTAACTCAGAGAGCATTGTGGCCAGGGGACACTGAGGCATTGATGCGGCCCCTTGCACCCCAGGTAGACAAGCCTTAGACAAGCCGCAGATGCTCTGGCAGTCTACTGAGAAACGAGGAGAGCAATAGCTAATGATCAGATTAGGCCTGTCCCTTTTAGAGCTACATATAATGGTGGAATGAGGAATGAGCCCGCACAATGGAAAGGCAATGGCGTGCACTTTAGTCTTGAGGTGCTTTGTTATAACCCTGCCTGTAACCCTCACTTGCAGGACTGATGCAAGCAAACCCCTTTAACCTGGCATTGTGATGTTGTGGAGGAGGCTTGGGGTTGCCAGTGCGGGAAAGAGGAGCTCCGTCCCAAAATGACCTTCCTTGCTCACGTTGTTCTGCAGGTCCCTGGTGACATCCTGAAATGCCCCAGCTAATGTGCAGACAAACCTGACAGTGAGCTGAGAGGAGAAGATAAAGCACAAAGTGATTGGTTCATGCGTCACCCAATAAGCTATAGCAGGAAAGCCAAATAAAGGACCTCAGTCCCCCCACCCCAAGCAGGCAGATCCTCCTACTTGAGACTGCAGGGTGCCATAGCTAGCCTCCCCCCGCACTCAGTAAGAAGCCTATCCTACCAACGAATGACAGGAAGCACTGTGCCAACACTGCTCAATACAGTACATTTTATTTGAGGATACCAAAGCCCCTTTATTATCAACCTGATGCGTGATCTTCTTGAGCGGATAAAATATCTTGTCCCCTTTGATTGTTACTAGAGCCCTACTTCTGGACCAGAACTTCTTTGTGCCCGGTGCTGTACAAATGCCGAACACTCCCTGCCTCATGAGCTACTGCTAGTGTAGTACTGCTGTCCTCTATCTCTTGTACAAATACCCTTGAACCAGCAGAGCAGAAAGGGGTCACGGGGTGGCTGTGCTAATCTACCAGATAGTAATCCATCCCTGTCCCAGCCAGTGTGAAATCTGATTATTGGCCTAATATTAATCTGGGGCCCACGGTAGGAACTGTCAGTTTTTGTTCCAACACTGGGCTTTGTATTGTCAACAAAAACCATATTTGACATTTAATTCAAATCCCAGAGTGTCTTTTAATGATATAACCTTCCTCTGCTTCGTGCTGAAGAAAGAGGAACAATGTCTCCTCTCCTGCATGTTCTGGTTGGAGAAAGGGAAAACGATAAAAAGGAAGGACCTAATTTCCAGCAGCAACCCAGCACCTCTTCTAATCTGTGTCACCCAGAGGCAGAAGCCTCGTGCACAGAAAGGATTTTCCCATCTTCTAAAATTTGCCGTATCCCACTAAAGCTCTTTCATTTCACACAGATTAAGAGTTAATTCAGGTCAAATAAGGATTAATTAGTCTGTGTAAACCAGCCCCAGACACCGATGCGCTGCAGATCTTTTAAAAATTAGTTGCTGTTACTGTAAGTCTGTATCTTCTGATGGCAAGACGTCTGGTGGATTATAAATTTGCAATCAGGTACCCCACGGGATGCGAGATGAGGGAAAATGTCAGTCTGAACGGTGTTTAAATCCCTCCTGCCGATGAACTGCAGCCTCTTTCAAATTAGGTCCTGTTGGCAAAATCAGATAAAGAGATGGAAATAAATGATGTGAACAAAGGGCATCAAAGAGTATCATTTAAATTGTTATTGACTGTGGGCATGAAAAAAAAAGCACAGCATGAAAACATACTTAATAAGGGGAGATAATGGGACCATGGAGCCAGTTTTCTGATTTGTAGAAAGATCATCAAATAGTAGGGTTTTAAAAAAAAATTTCTTACCTAGTTTACAGGTAAAGGAGAGAGAGAAATGGAATAGATTTCACAAAGCAGGCAAAATTGCGTTGATAAGCCATATGCACTAATATCACGGGCTGTTCACTCAAAGCCTGCTGCATTAGAAAAGTTCAAACCTGTTGCTGCTGGATGGACAAACTAAGAGCATTAGGCATAGTCATTAAGAAAAGCCAAGCGAACAAACCGTCGGGAGACTTTCATGGTGGTTTACACGACATTGCGGAAGATCCCTTCGAACTGAAGGACAATCCACGCCAGTGCCCTCAGCTTCCTCTTAAACACGTGTAGAGAACAAGCAGCAGAAAGCCCTTCTCCCACAGTGGGTCTTAGTATGTATTTAACATCACTTCAGGCCAAAATAAGCTTGCTCTTGGGATTTGGCGATCCCAGCAGAGCACGAGTTATTACGGCTTCAGCAAGCACATACTTGGGAGCCATAGGCCGTTTGTAGATGACATTTTAAAGAGGGTTTAAAGTGGGTTAAGTGCCTTTTGCACCGCTTTAATGGCATTGCTGTTTGCACATTCAGTGCTGTATTATGCTGGCACGGGGCACCGCTGCCACCACCAGAGAGCCTTCCACATTTTGTTTGTGGCCCTCCCTCCCGCCCAGCAGGTTGTTGGCTTCCTCCATCGTTACGGCTGGAAATTCCAGCCACCGTGGCCAGTGTGCCATGCTAATTCCCCCGCGGATGTGCCGTGGCATGGGAGGGGGGCCCTGCACCTTGCTTGGATCACAGGGCCCCACTAACTGTAAATCTGCCACTTATTCCAGCCGCTGTAGCACATTCAGTGGCGTAATGTGCCTTTGGGACACAGCAAATGACTTTGGGGTGTTGCAAAGTAAAACACCTCCGAGGAGTTTTAGTTTCCTACCCTACAGCTGAGGAGGGAAGCAGGTGAGGATCAGGCTCCGACACGGGTGTACACGACGCGGGGCTTTACTTTGCCCTAAATTGAAGTGGTGTTTTAAAAAAACAACAACCCACCGCTTCAATTTAGGGAGAATTAAACCCTGATGTCATCTACAAATGGCCGTAGTCACATGTATATTGAGAGGCAAGGGGATCAGGCACCTCAGACGTAGATATTCAAAAGCATTTAAGGCACCTCACCTTGATTTCAACAGACCTAAATGTCCAAGTCATTTTTGAAAACAGGCTTATACGTTCCTAAAACACTTTTAGGCGCTTCTTTGACTTGCTGTGCTGGCTTTTAGAGCACATCCATCCCCTTAGTGGATCAGATACAAAGCAGCAGAGAGGTGCTGCATATCACAGAGAGAACATATACATGTACCTGTTACATCTGGCTGGAAGAAGATACATCCTAGTGATGTGGCAACTGAATTTTATTTGTGTGAGATTGTGGGAATGGGTGGCCTTGATTAGGGCTTGGCATGTGTGGAAAATTACTGGAAATTTTTGACTGGGGGTGGGGAAGATGCATTTTCTTTCCCTGACTTATACCCTACACAGCACCATGGGCATCAGAGCAACTCTCCTCTGGTGCTGGAGGGCATGGCAGATTGTAGTGCTGTTTGCATCACAGCAGTTTGTGCAACACGAAGGCAGTTCAGGCAGTCAAAGGTTCCCAAAGGATGTCTGCTCCATTGCAGATCCCATGCATTTCACTGGGCACAACTTAGGCCAGAAGCAGTAATATATGAACCTCCAAGTTTAACCCGGCGCTCATGGGGAAAGGGAATTCAACTGGAAAACGTTTTATAGGACTTGTCTGTACTTGGAAGGCAACAGTGCCTTAACTGCTCCATGCCATCTCCCTCTGTGCACAGAGGAGTAAGCCTGAAGTTAGCTATCTAGCATATACCGTACACAAAGATCTCGCTCACAGGAACCCCTCATAGATCATATTCATCCCCGCTCTTATTGTGAAGCAACTTCTTCAAGCAGCCCAATCCCGAGGGCTTAATCCGCAATGCTGGGGACCGTGATATTAAGTTGGTATGAACTCAGATCCAAGGGAGAACAGGACCGTCACACTGAAACCCTCCCCAGCTCATGGGAAGTGTCTGGGAATGGCTGCTCTATTTGAATCAGTCTCCTGGAGCTCCATAGGTCACCTGTAGACTTTAAAAAAATGGTTTTAATGACTCATATCATGTCCTTCAGATGAGGCGTGAAACCAGGTTTCCTGGTGGGCATCCGACTGGAAGTTAAAGACTGAACAGCACTTTCTCAGAAGCAAAGACAGAGCACCACTGGAGCCGAGTCCTAGGGACCGTCTCAATCAGACAAGCTCTAATGGCAGACCCGTGCATTCGAGCACTGTTTAACGCACAATGATAGGTACATTTACCTGCTCAGCCACCGTATTTCACACAGTCCCTGAGCACGTTAAGGAACAGCAGAGTCTGGGCTTACAGGTTTCCTCCGACAATTCGGACCCTGGAAATTCAGTTGGCCACTTTATCTTTCAACATCTCATCAAATACAGGACAATGCAAAGTTTTCAACATACAGCATGCCTAGCACTCCTGGGAACTCCTGCACTAACCATGCCTCCACGACCTGAAGGGGGAGATTCAGTTAATTTGGATACGGGCCAACCGAACCAACCGGGGAGTTTCCAACGTGAACAATATCCGTAAGGAGACATGACCTCATTTCTGATGAGATAAACAAGATCTGTGTGTATTATTCTAGATTTTGAAGTATATTTTCAGGCACTGAAACCCCAAAGCCAAAATTAAAAAAAAACAAACTAGCGGGTTTTCCAATGAAGAAACCACACTGGGATTTTTTCCTCCTTCATCTCGCAGATATGATGGAACTACGGCAATAATACAATGCCGTAAGCCTTGGAAGAAAGATGACATCTGTTGCCCATCAGATATTACACCTTGGTGACCGTGCAGACCAGCAAGTATGAAAGTGATTACTTATACCTTGACAGCATGGCCATAGCACATAAATGGGACGCTCTGTACAGCCATCTAGAAAGGAAGACCTGTTAACAGCAGGAGAAGCCACCATTTCAGCTGTGAGAATATGTCGGTGTTACTTCTATTGTTGCCATGAGACATTCATTGGGAAACAGCTGCGGGTTGATGAAGAGCATATGGACCATCTTGGTGTAGCCCTGATTTCACCTGAGTGCTATTAATCAGTTAGCATCTGCTGCAGTTACTAACACAGTTCTCCCCCTACATGCATTTTGCTTTAAACCATCAGAGATTACTGATCTGATACCGTAGATATTACAGCGCCAAACTAAATAAACATTGTGCTTAACTATCCAGCTACCAGGACCAGGAACGATCCCTTATCATTTCAGTGACAGAGACAGATACCTCTTCCTCTTCTCTATCTGCTTTCTCCTGATGCTGCGGTTTGAAGTGGTGAGCTGGATGAAAACACACTCTGCTATGGGATTAAAGCAATGCTTACATATTCTGTTCTGTTCCATACACGTTCCCAATAGACTTGTGCCATCAGATGCGAATGCTTTCAGGGAGCGTTCACTTCTCTTCTCTTCTCTCCCTCCCCTCCATCTTCAATTCCTTTGGCGGTCGCCTGGAAAACCTTTGCAAATTGCTGTTTACAAATAAGCAACATGACTGCATTCCACGTGGAATTTGTTTTTCTAAATGTAGTAACTGCTAGGAATACATTGCCTATGGTAATTAAGGCAAATTCAGGGCTCATTATAATACCATTATGCAAAATTGATGGTGCATCCTCATCTGGAATCCAGTGTGCATTGTGGGTCACCCCATCTCAGAAGAGAGTTAGCGGATGATGAGCATGAACAGGAGCACAGGAGAAACCCTTATTAAGGGAAACTGAAAAGATCAGGGTCGTTTGTCATATGCAGGAGAGGACTGAGAGGAGCTGGATAAAAGTGGTTGGCAGTGAATGGCATAGAGAAGGGGAACTGGGAACTTCTGTTTTCCCTACCTAGGGACCCAAGAACAAGGGAACATTCAGTGAAATGGAAAGCTAACAAATCCAAACCTGGCAAGAGGAAATCTCTCTCCCTCCCCAAACATAATTAGACGGTGGAACTCACAGCCACAGGAGGTTACCGAGGCCAGGGATTTAGTCCGACTCAAACAGAGGTTGTGCTTTTATAGAGAAGAACATTGTGACTTGTGACAGTTAATACAAACAAAAGTCTTGGAAGGAATGCAAACCTCTGGCTTCAAGGAAACCGGCTGCCCACATTTACCTATTGTGCAGTTTCTTCACCGCCCTTTACAGCATCAGGAGCTGGCACCTTTCAGAGACAGACGGGAAACTGGAGTGGCTAAGCCACAATTCTCACGCTCCTGTTCAAAACGGAAAAAGTTAACTGTTTTAAGTTAGCCCTCCAAAATCAATCTCGAGCTCTAGAACTGCTGCACGCAATTACGGTAAACTGAGGGCAAACGTCGCTGTCACATCCATTTCTCTTCTTCACGGTACCCTCTGGCTCCCTTGGTGCATGAAACCTGTTGACCAACATGAAACCTGTTGACCAACTCAATGCAAGTCTGGCAGGGCCTTTGCTCTTTGGGAATAAGGCAACAAGAATCTAAACGCAGCTCTGCTCTCAACAAAGGAGCGTTATATTAAACTGAGGTTGTGGTAATCGTTACAGCTGAGTCCACCTTTTACTGTGGATTACAGGGAAAGGGCCCCGTTCTGAAGAGAGACACCGTGGGGCGGTGACACAGTCCTTTTATCCTGGGCCATGCCTGTTTCACCAACATAACCTGCCTTAAGTTCAGTGGACCAAATTCAAAGGAGGGTAAGGGGCACAAATCATACATTGTTTTGCAAGCGTGTTTAGATCAGGCCTTAGATACACAATGTAATGATGGTTAGCTGACAAGATCCTGTACAGAGCAGAACTGGGTTTATGAATCTTTAACTAAATTACATGGATGAGACATCCTTTAATCTACAGCAGAACTGCCTGTGACCCCACATCTGCAAATTCCTTCTCTTCTCCACCCCTTCCCCACCCCGCTCTGAAAATATCTACCTGCTTTTCTCCATGCAATTCTCCTGGCTAATTACCCATAAAGATTCAAATCATGAACTGCAGCTCAGAGCTTTTCACAGGCATTAGGGGAGCATTAAATGGGAAATTCTCAGTCTAAATTACAGTTTTCCACTACAAGTGTTTCAAAAAATATCTGCTTTTAATTAGAAAGGAAAGATCCCAAAGACTGCACTACCTCCTACCTACCACACACACACACTCCTCTCAGGTTAACGTCTCAGGTGATGTAAATCAACATAGCTCCATGCAAGTCCATGGAGTTTACATCAGTCTGCTCCAGCTGAGGACCTGGCCTTCTGGAAGAGAGACAAATTTGCTAGCATCTGCAGAGGATCCATAATATTCCCAGCTCCAAGTAATTTGGGGTCCTGTTGAGCCTCTTGCACATCTCTGCTGGGGTGGTGCAATTTATTTGGCAGCTAGGTTTTTCCTCCCAGGGAACCTCCTAATAGATCCATGAACGCAGAGGTTACGTGAGTGCAGGTCCAGAGGTGAAGTCATTGGTTTTTCTGTACAGAGAATGGAGATTTCAGCCAAGCCTTATGGTTTCAGTAACGCAAAGCTTTGTGAGCCTGCTGTTCATCTGTAGTGGATGCCTCTCTTCTGCATCAGCACTAGGCCAGAGTTTGGATTGAGGACAGGTTCTTTCTCGGATGAGACAGAGCTGCCTGACAGGGTGACAATGAGCTGCCTTGTAGCAATGAGTGAGACGCCTTCTCTCAGCTGCCTGCAATTGTCCTCCAGGCCTTGTGGACACCAGGGATTTAAGCCACGGGGACAGCATGGCAGTGTGAACCCCTGGTGCAAGCAGGCTGCAAAATTCTGAGCTTAAATTTGCACCTAGTTCAGCCTGAGCCTGGGATAGACGACCTCAGTTCCTACTGTGGCTCACGGCAGTACTGCATGTCGGTAGCAGGTATTTGCATGTTTGCCTTCTCCAAAGGTTGTAATGGAGGTAAAGCCACAGAGTCAGTTAATTAGCTCATGCCCGCTTTTCTTTTTTGCCATCTGCTTAGCTAGTCCCATGCAACTGGGGACATTCTGGGCATTAGAGATTTAGAGTAGTATATTTTTAAATACAAAAGGACAGCAGGCAATTTCTGTTGGAAGATGTAAGATCTTTCCGTGAAACTTGTAGTCAATATTGAATGATCACCTGGAGTCACTGCAGCGCGTTCACACCGTCTGACGAGAGATGCGTGTCAGTAGCCGAAAGGCCTATAATGTTACCTACAGCAACGGAACAGGGATGCATACAGAGTGCGGTGAAGGAGTCTGTGTGGTCAGCTGCTGGGCCATATGATAAATTGTCTCTTTATAAACCTTTGCCCTTTTCACAAGCCCCTTGCCCACTAAGCCATCTCCCCTGAGGCTCGTTTCAAGACCCAAAAGCTCCGGGCAGTTTCCAATTGCTGCCATTAAAACAAATGCATCTTGCTATGGAAATAAAATCTACCCCACGATTATACTGGCTGGAAATTTCTGCGTGGGTACTATTTAGCACAGGGACACTTTTCATGTTAACAGAACACATGCTTCTCCTTTTGGAAGGTCCTGAGTTCATGCACTTTATCTTTGTGACATCTTGCATTCAATTAAATACTGTCACAGCAATTAAGGGCCTGATTCAATTTCCAAAGGGACTTCTCTACCAACTTCAACAGGATCAGGCAGTCAGAGGCTTGAATAGTCATGAATTTAGGATTCAGAACTATTCTCTCAGCTATACATTTTTTTCCTCCCAAAAATCATCTTCACTTTCCTAGTGAATAAATACTTGGCCCAAAATACCCAAGTTGTCCACTAATTCATTGTTCCGTATTTTCAGCTGAGGCTTCCAAGGAGGTGCAGACTACTACCATATTTTTTGCATGCAATACATCCTCAAATAGAACACGTGCCTGGTTTTTGGAAAGCCAAACGAAGCGGGGAAGAAAAGATTTTTCCAGCGTCATGGCTGACTATGTGATGCATTTCTCCAGGGAACATAGAAGCGTTGAGGAAGCGTGGCATCCCACGCTTCCTGCTGCCTCCTGCATCACCCAGACTGTCTCCTGAGATGCCACGCTTCCTGGACTCTCTGTTTCCATGTGGACTTACCCTACATCGCACAAGGTTAGGCCCCACACCATTTCAAGGGCGGTAGCAAAACTGGTAGTTCTTTACTGCAAGTAGTTCTTTACATAGGTTCCTGTAAATAAATGTTCCCACATCACAGGCCTCATCAATATACTACCAGCAGCCCACTTTGTGGTTCAGGCAAAATGTACACTATCACAATAGCTACAGCTGTGAGAGGGTTAACACAGGACTTCAGCTTGCTCAGCCAGACAATCAGTAACTATTTTGGCAGCTGCATGGGATGCACGGTGTCTTCAGGAGTGCTCCTTTTCTAGTGAAGAAATGAGCTTCCCTGCTGGAGACACGCACCCCAAGTTCAGGGGGAGGGTGTTATATGTGAGAAATTATGGTATTAGATAACACAAAATAGAAGTCCAGAAAACCACCCCGAAAGAAGTCGGCTAACTTATGGATCAGGACTATAAAATACCATACCCATCCTTAACCTGTTGTGATATTGCAGTGATTCAGATGGAGCAAACTTAGCGTACAATTTCATTCCCACGTGCTTATCTCTGAAGGAGAAATACCGCAACACCAGGGAGCCAAATCATTCATCCTGGTAACTGTCTGACATCCTTAAAAAGGAAACACTGAAGTGCAAGATGCTTACAATGCCTATGATTCGCTGAAGAGGGAAAAGACCCTTGGTAGACAATTCTCAAAACAGGTGACAAAAGCTAAAGGTCATACCAAGTTTAGCTAGGCCCTTGACACAACTAGCAAAGCATTATAGGAGCTTTGTAAGCTACTTAACATATCAGCATAAAAACTGGTTATCCGAATAAGTTTGAGTTCAACTGATGATCAAATAAGAGCAGATGCGAACAGTGGCATGCGACTTCCGCGACCCGTCCCAAAGCAGCTAAAGAGTGAATCATAAATCGAGAGTACTCACCAAAGTCAGCTTGTGAACTGCCTACTGGTAGAAACTTTCCAGCCAAAGTATCTGAAGGCTAATTGCAGTATAAATGGATTTTTTTTCCCTGAAATCAGAGTTGATTCATGAACAATTCACAGATAAAAGGGCACAGATTCATAACGGGCCAATTGTACCAGCTGTATCAATTTACGGTCCTCAGCCATCCAAAGACTATTGTTCTATTTGTGTCACAAAGCGCATGGTCTCCCCTCAGCGCATCCTGAGATCACCCATTCAAGCTCTGTTCGCTGTCAGAGTGTTTCCACTGAAGTAAAAACACGGCGACTTTTTTTTTTTGCCTCATCCCTTTCTTGGTTTGGAGGATGGGGAAAGTTTGACATGGTGGAAGGAGGAGGAGTTGCCATGGGATATGGGTTGGCTTCCAGCCATTCAGAATCAGCATTTACATCAGCTGTGATTTCATTTTATTCATAGCTTTGCAGAACAAAGGAGCCTTTCAAAGAAACACACCGAGGCCGAGGAAAATGCCAGATCAAATCTTCTGTACCAGAGACATCTCTTTTTTTGATCATATTAGAGATGACTTGTCCTCTGGATGACCTCATCACATGGATTATAGATTTGGATTGTTTCATCCTCTTAAAAGTTTGTCATGGTGTATTGACTATGCTTTAGCATTTATGGTTTCTATGGTGCTCAAAGGATCTCGCTGCAGACTTCTTGAAAGGGGCATAAAAGTTACATCATTTTTTCCTACGCTGCTTACATTCACAACAGTACTTAATCAGCTACATTGCAGAAGGGGTTGCAAGGGTTACTTGTTAATGATGAGCTTTGAAAAATGCCAAGGGCTAAGTAACATTATAATGGTTAAGCCTTTGCACCTCAGTTCCCTTATGTGTAAAACAAGAACGCTCACAACTACTTTGCTGCTGATGGGTTTTTTTTCCTCCCCTTCCCATCCATAAATCTCATAGACATGGAAGCATCATTACCTTCAACGAGCAGGAATCAGAGACAAAGATTAAGCAATTTGCCCAGTGTCCCTCAGGAAGTCAGGACTAGAGTCAGAATACAAGTGAGGGGGCTTAATAGCTCCTGTATGCTCTTTCACTGGACAAATTGCTGCTTCCCTGGAAATCTGTTGCTTGCCTCCTGCCCTGGGATGGCGGTGAGGATTGTTAAATTAATTAATGCTTACAAAATGCTGGGACCAAAAAGTGCCATTGAAGTGTAAATTAACCAAAGGGCAGGACTTCCTCAGGTGTTCTGCGCCAATGGGAAGCAAGCCTTGGCAAGCCTGCAGAAACATAAACAGGCCCCAACTTCCCATGCATTAGGTTTGCTTGCTTATTTGCTTTGTTCCGGAAGTGAATGTGAGACTTATGAACCAGTCCAAATTGGCAGGGCCAGAGAGACGGCCATCCATAATCAGGGCAAGTGCAAGCAAAGGCTTTGTGGCAGTGCAAAGTTCCCCCTGCTGCCCCAGCCTCGCTGACTGCAAGGGGCCTCACCTCCACCTGGGGGGAAGGCTCACCTGGGTTTGTCTTCACCCAGAGTTGTGCTGGTTTCAGCAAGCGTGCGGTTGAAGGCTCAGGTCAAGCAGAGTGGCTTCTTAACCTGGCAAGGGAAATACCGTGTATCTGTGTTCATGAAGGCAGTTTTCCTGGACCGCGCCGCGGGAGAACTGCTCTTCTGGCGTGGTTCAGTACCTGCCGAGGTGTAACAGCTTTAATCCCGGTTCATGGAAACGGGAGTCTCCTCCCTTGCTTGCTCCTGCTGCCTTATGGCTAAGGGCAAGCAAAACTCGGGGGCATTCAAACCCCAAGCCTCCGGGCTTGGGCCTGCAAGTAGGCTGCCCACCAAAGGATTTGGAAACATCTGAAGCCCCAGATGTGGTGGAGGATGTTTGCTGACAGTAGGGCCACTTATGGTTCTGGACTCTTGGATGTGGAATTAGTTGTGGCTAATTTGGCCTTGGCTACAAATTAAAAAAAAAATCTGTACACCAATTCAGTCAAACTGGTAGAGAAGGTTTCATGCAGACTATTACTGTTTAGGCTAATGAGGCTTACTGCGGTTTGGCTTGCATGCGGTAAGCAGGCAGGGACATAACAAGAACCAGTGACTGAACGTTAAAATCAGAGAAATTCAAATTAGAAATAAGCCAGACGCTTTTAACAATCAGGATGACTAACCAGGGGAGCAAACAGCCGAGCAAAGCCGTGGGTTCTTCAATCCCTTGATAGATTTAAATTGTGCCTGGATGATATTCAGGAAGTCATGCATTAGCTAAGCACAAGTTATTGGGTTCAATGCAGGAGTACTTGAATGAAATTCTCTCTCTCTCGATCTATATGAGAGGCCAGACATGATAATCTAATCTGACTGTTTATTAATAAAAGTTTAAGATAGATCAAAGCAATCCACTTTTAAACAGAAATGAGAGTGTCCACATGATCTTTTACCCAGGTTAAATGTCATCCGTTAGACGGTTGCAATGTTCTCATGTAGAATATGCCACAGTTTCTGTGACCATTCAAGTCTGGGCCCATCTGCTGAGAATACCAACCAGGAGACTAATTAGTGTAGAGACACCTTTTCAAAAAGCTGAAGCTTTCCATGGAAAAAATGTTCTGAATAGTTTGCTCTTTTCAAATTCATCAAGATCTCACACCCCTCATTTAGTCTGGGAATTTTCATCTGGGGCAGGAACATTTCCATACAACATTTGACTTTGGTCAAAAGGTTTACTTCATGTTTAGTTTGTATTTTCCCCTGCTCCCCCAGTGTCTTGACCAGTTCTACTAAAAAATGTAACGCATGACAAGTCCAGCTTACAGCCAAATGAAACATCTGCACTCATTTAGACCACTATATCATGTGGTACTTTTGCTCCTCAAGGGCGCATCCCCATGAGCACACACGTGTGGTTTGCGGTGTCTCAAACCACACGTGGTACACGTGCATGCCTTTGCTGTGTGGCTAATTTGCAGTGTGGCAGCTTTTTAGGACACTGGGAGATCCTGGTGTCAAAAAAAACCTGCACGTGGCAGCAGTGTGCACCACCACAAACCAGAGCCTGGCTGCTCAGAGCCATGCTCTGCCTGCTGTCCAGGCTCCGAGTGGCTGGATTGCCACCACTGCTGCCCCAGGAGGCTCCTAGGAGCCCAGGTAAGGCTGCTGGGGCCAGCCCAGGTGCTGGCTCCAGCCTCCTGTATACTACTTAGGGCAATTTGCATCGTGCTGGAGTATGTGTGCAGGGGCATCCCTGGGGACAAGTAGCAGCAGCACAAATGTGTGCCGCTGCTCTTTGCTCCATGGGGAAACTCATGTGCACACTTGTGGGAATGCACCCCAAAAGTGCAAATGCATGCCATTACTGGGTACTGCTTAAGTTGCTTTAGTTATTGGATGCCACTCTCAACTAGCTAGGAGGTGTCTAACGAAAGCCTGTGTATTTATTCCCCATACATGAACCCCAGCCTTTTCCATCATGCTCATGCAGGGGTATTTGAAGACTTGCTTTATCCCCACAAAATGATTCCCGTTTTTCTGACCCTTACAGATCACACTGGAGTGGAGAAAAGGGTTATTATGCGCAAGGGAAATTGAGGTTTCCCAGATCTTTGAACTCTTGGAAGGAACAAAAAGTCTTGCAGCTTGTTCAAGTCTGTAAAAATCCCAAGTTGATGGCACATATAGAAGTACTTTGTGTGGCTTTATATTGGCTCGTGGTTATGCCAATCTATTAATGAAAAAGGAAGACTGATTGCTTTGGAGATGGCATGGCAGGACCTCAAACACTAAATCATGAAAGAGCTTTCTGATGGCATCAGGGAGATTTCCTTTGGCGAGTCTCAGCACAGAAGGCAAGCCAGGTTTCTCTCTGTGTACACATTAGAGTGGTGCCTGGCAATTTGCTATACTTAAAGAGCCTCTTGATGTTTCTATTATATAAATCACTTACTAATTCACCTCTCCTTAAAACCTGATATACTGAACATCATCACCCCACAAGCAATTGCCCGGGTTCATTCTTGTTTTTAACTATATGTAATCAGGTCAGGCAGGACTTTTTAAAAGGCAGGGTAGTTAAACACAGTTGTCTGCTAGGTAGAATAGTTTGGGCAGATGGTGTTAAGCATAGACCATGCCTACTTGTCAGCCTTTCATAGGCTCGAGCTCTTTAAGCTGCACTCCTTTTACATGGTGAAGTCAAGCAGCTTAAGCTTTGTTGGAACCGTACCCTGCAAGGCTCCAGCAGCTGCAAGCATTTTTATGCCCTGTATCATTGAAATGTACTGAACATTGGTGAAAACACTAGAACCTATTGTATCCTTGTGTACACCGTGTCTCCTTCCTGCTCTGTGGCACCAAGTGGGCATCCAAACCAGATTTCAGCCAGCATAAATGAGCATAGCTCCACTGGCTTCAAACAGAGCTGCTCCGAGTACAGTCCTGCCTCCTGACATTTCTTAAACACCGAACATATTTAATTCCAGAAAACAAGTGTGGCAAGGCACCATAATAATCATCCTCGTTCCTACACTCGTACTAAGTATAAAATACTTTGATACATTAGGACTCTGAGCCCTATTGTAACACCATTATATAATTTGAAAATACTGCTTTATATACTTTGATAAAAATGTGTATTATAAGACAATGGAAAGGTTTCAGAAATCTTCTCCATTATGAGAGAGAGTCTCACAACCTTTTCAAAATGCACTATTGTAGGCTATAAAACAAGAGACAATAACTCCATGGATACTGATTTCTGTGAAATGAAAGAATAATACCAGAAGAGTACTTAGCAAGCTGAGAAGAATGACATTACTAGAATAATTCTGCAAATCCTCCCTATTTTGCCCAGTGTCTGGCAAGCTAATTGTGCCTTGCACAATGACACGATGCCATCACAACATTAAATAATGAAAAAGAAAAAGAGAAAGAGAATTACGTGGAGCAGGTAAGACTTGTCACTGGACTGTATTTGAAACTGGCTTAACTCTGATCACCCAGTACGATTCAGGAAGGCTTTTCCAGCTGGAAGGAGCTTCAGGGGAGAAGGAGCTGGTAGCAATACTAGTAAGACTAAGTGAAGGGACAGAAAGAAAGACAATATAGGAGCTTGAGGGAAGCCGGTAAGGGAATACATAGGTGAGTACTAGGTCAAATTGTGGATGGTTGTAAATCAGTATTGGTCCTGCAGAAAGGAATCTGGCCCAAGGAGAGAATTTTTAAAGCTATAACCTAAAGTGAATAGGGAGCCTTTGCAGTTGCTCAAAG